AATCTGCCACTGCACAGTGATTGCTTTGTACTGCAGCAAAGTGGTTACTGCCAGGGATGTAGGCAGAAACCAGTTGAAAGGGAACTCAATGTAATCCTCTTTTCCTCTTAACTCTTCTGTGTCCTATGTGAGTGCCCATTGAAAAGTCTTTTATGAAAGGTGAGAAGCCAAAGAAAGAGAAAAAAGAACAATCTTTGCTGGGACTCCACTTCAGACAGAAGCAGCCAGGAGACAGCATCTCTAAGCATAAATACTTGGCCATGGAAATGGAAAAGCTCTTTACAGTAAGTTGTATGTTTATTGAACTCTTATCCAAAGAGAGCTGGGATGGGCAGGAGCAGTATGTCCGTCACTGAGGGGGCCACGTCCCAATCCACTTCCTCGGCCCCACACTGTGTCCATGCCCATCTTGCACAGCCCCAAATCTTTGGCACAATGAGAAGGGACGTGTTGAACTGGTGACTTCTCACCACAAAGCCACTTCCTTCCTGACAACCAGTGGTGAGCGCCATAGTCATGACCCTTCCAACACTCTGTGCTGCTTCTGCTTCCCTTGCACTTTAGGTAAAGTGCTCCCAAGCAACAGAAGGATTATTTTTTTGCAGCTTTTTTGTTTTTTATTTGATTAGCACAGACAAGCTCTTGAGGGCTTGTTTTCAGTGTTCCTGACAAAGGATTTTCCCTGTGAGGACGGCAGCCAAGGCTGCCCTACCGAGGCACAGCGCAGATCTTGTAGGGCTGTGGGGCCATCGTGATGCCCATCACGGGTTGGAGGCTGAGCGTGGTGTCCGGAGGTGCCTGGAAGGTGAATTTCTGGAGCAGAGATGTGAAGAAGAGGAAGAGCTCGGAGCGGGCGAGCAACTCGCCCAGGCAGGCGCGCTTCCCTGCGGAAACAAGAACCCACGGCATCCTCAGACTGAGCCTTTGATGATGGAAGTGATTCTGCCTTCCCTTAGGACCATGGTCCCTGATCCCTTCCCAGGATGAGTTTTGCAGCCCAAACTGAGAAGGTGTGTGATGCTGGCATGGGAAACAGGGGTGCTAAAAGCCACCTCCCCAGGGAAGCTGCTGGCTGGGGTAGCCTGGGGTGGCATCAGTGAGGCCCCAGTGAACTCAGCCATGTGGGAGCAGCAGCACAGAGCGATGCTCCTGCCATGGTGCAGGTGTTCCTGGGGTGTCTGGAATTATATGGGATTTTTCTTCATCCTTATCTCCCTTCTTTGCATTTAAAAAGAGAGACAAGAGCAGGCTCTGAGAGTGGTTGTGCTGCTTTGGGATGATCAAATGGCCACTGTTAGAGCGGCATCTCCTGGGTGCATCTGCCATTTCCATCACTGTTTTCCTCTCTATCTCCATCATGCAGTTGGAAACCCAAAGGCCCGTGCCTCAGCACAATTCAGCACATCCTACCAATAGAAAATGCCAGAAATGATTCCCTTTTCCAGAACTTCCCGTCCTTCAGGAAATGCTGCGGGTTGAAAGTGTCGGGGGTTTCCCACTCATTTTTGTCAAACATCACAGAGGTTATATTTGTCATCACAATAGTTCCCTAAGAGGAGAAAAAGAAAAATAGATCACACTTGCAGTGGCAGACAGCAGGAGGGGCAGCTTTATCTTCCAGTCTCTCCAGGAAGAACATCCAGAGTCAAATTCTACTGCAATTATTTGTTTTAAGAACCCTTGCAGGGCCAGGGTGTCTTTGGAGGTGCAGTGATTATAGAACCACGTTTTGTCCTCCTCAGCTTCCCTTTGGTCTGCTGTAATCTCGGGACAGGGTTCCTGTAAGAGCTCTGTGAGCTGGGATCTGTGCCCGGGGGGTGTGGCAGCCTGTAGGGCTCTGCACCTTTTGGGGAGCTGGAGAATATTGGTTGGTTGGATGGCAACAATCCACATTCAGCAGGAGTGAACTCTGGACAGGGCAGGGACAGTGTGTCTGTGCAGGAGGGGCCTGGCCTGGTGAGTCGTGCCTGGGGAGCTGGGAGTCTCCAAAAGGTCCCAGTGCTCAGGAATGAGCTTACCTTTGGGATGAAGAAGCCATCCAGAGTCGTGTCCTTTACTGCTATTCTTGGCAC